TTTATTCTTTACTAGCTGTCACCCGAGAGAAATTTAAAAAAAGTAGCCTCTGTTCTTCCAGATTATCCTCTATGAAAAATTTCATCGAGATCCATTCAGCAGATTCTGCTAACATCTAAACTTTCAGATTTTTAATATTACTAGCTTAGTCTTAGACTTAGCCCACGTGATGTTATAAAAATAGCATATATCACTCACAGATAAATTACCTTTATACCGAAGAAAGAATTTTTAAAATCGGCCCAGTAGTTTTTTAGTTATTTCAATACGTAAAAAATACAAATCTTTCCTCTTTATAATATCAGTTTATATTATTAGGAAGTAAGATCGCATTATGACGTGTCCCCAAGCATAAGAAAAATGTGTGAGAAAATAACAAGTTTAGTAAAACCACGTAGTGACTTTTTTCTGGTACGGTTTATTGGTTTCAGTAACATCTGGTACGTTTAATGGTTTAAACAGTACAGCTTCTGATTTGATCGTAAACATATCAAATGCTTCTAAATAGATGTACTTAACTATTACACTATTTATATTTACGATAGTAGTGCGATACTACTGGAAGTTTGAGATTAGCCCCAGTAGTAGAGAAGGTAAGGAGTAAAAGGTTAGCATGGTATGGGCATGTTATTTTTTTTTATATAACATATGGTGGCAAACGAGCAAGCGGCCACCTGAATCTACCAATATGGCGAAGCAACCGCTGCCCATAGACATCCGCAATTGCAGATGCGTTGCCTACACTTATCCGATGGAGGAGGAGACACATAAAGAGGATATTGCCCCTTCCTAAGCATCTCCTCCACCATCAAATCCACTTCCCCTTCCCATCCTCTCGTTATAAGAAAAGGGTGGTAAAGAGAAAGGGACGTAAATTAGGCCTCCGGCACCACACTCATCAGACGAAACACGGAATTGCTTCCATTTCACGCCTGTTTTCTGTGTGGTCGTGGTATTACACCGGGCGTGCCGGCCCATAAATGTGGTTATGTTATGAGGGATGAATCGCATGTTACAAGGAGAACGTTAGTTATGAGTGTGGAAGTGTATACCGGTATATAAAGAGGAAATATTTGTATTTTTGTAGGTAGAATAAAGATCATTCAATTCAGTGTAGACTTGGTTCCGTCTTTAAATTTATTTAACCACCCTATGTACTAAGTTCGTCGTCCCTTAGTCTAGACAGACGAAGGGCATCGTGTCCGTCTAGACAAGGGTAAATTGAAAAGCGATTTAATGGCTACAGTTAGTTTGTAATTGATGTCTATAATTATAGTTACATTTGTGAATTCTAGAAAGTTCTAATTCCTACTTTACATACTCCTACGTAAGAGTATTTTATTTGTCACTGGCTGTTGGTCATGAATTCGTCCGCGTGAAATTACAAAATATAGCCTATGTTATGTTACTCACTGATAACGTAGCTTTTTAATGGTGAAAGAATTTAAATCAGCCGCGTAATTTTTGTTTTTTTTTTTTAATACATAAAAACATACAAATCCTTCCTTTTTATAATATTAGTATAAATTAAGCAGGCCCTTAGTGTACAAATCAAGTCTAAGGGACTCCTTTACCGTTTATAAAAAGACTGTGTAATCCAGTCAGTCTATTTTTTTATGTTAGTGCCCTGTAATGTCTTTCTTCAATATAATCTCGATTGCTATTGATCGAATACGGTTGCCGGCCCTCACGTGCTTGAAAGTCTAAATATAACCACACTTGACATTGTTACTAATGCTCTATATATTTTTTTTATTTACATATATATACTATGAAGGCGTAGGAAGGGGAATTATCCTCTTTCTGTGTGTCTTCTCTATTTATTTAAACTAGGCAACTGAATCTGCACTTGTGGATGTCACTTTCAACGAAGGTAGACGTTTGCTCGTTTGCCTTTTGTTTTAACTCGTTCAACTAGCTACTCGTATTTTGTTTCTCTCTCTTTCAATAGTCTCTTATGGTGGTGTCAGCTATTCTAATTAAACTCTTCCACTTAGCTCTATCCTCAATATCTTAGCCTGATAACTGGCAGTCGACCATCTTAACACATCTTTCTACCTAGTTTTGAGTCCACTGATCTGCGATCTGTGTTTGTTTGTCAGTTTTATATGACTTAGAACTGGCTTAAAAAGCGGTCTTTTATCTGCATATATCGATACAAAGCTTTGCATTTAATAGGTTTTTTCATATCTTATCGTATTCATTTGTTTGAATCATAAAAGTCAACAAGGGGTAATCTAATCCAATGTCATTACGATTCGTATTACCTTGGGCTACAGGAAAGCAAAAAATACGTTACTGATAGTTACAACGGAACTTCTGATAATAGTTTGTTTATTTTACAAGAATTCGAACGTCGATAGCTCAGGGGCTATGCACTTGATTTGTATAGCTCATTGGTTCGAATCCCGCCATCGTCTTATTGTTTTTCTTACTTGACGTTCTTATGGTAAAGGAAATCATCGTGATGCAACCATATCTGGGAAGAAATTCAAAGATGTGTTTTAAGTAAACCTGCAGTGGGCCAGCGTGGTTAACTATGGCCTAGTCACCCCTAACTAAGAGTAGGCCCCGTGCCCGAGTGGGGACATATAGTGAGCTGATGACTGATACTTTGAAGCTCTTGTGAAGTATTATTCCCAACTGTCACCCCGCTCTGTCCCCACATGGAGACAGATGAGAATAAAAAGTTTTGTCCGTCCTATCTTTTGCGACGAGTGGACGGTTGGGACTTATTTTATTTCATAACGGTTTCATCTGTCACCTTTTGGTGATAGTAGGACTAAAAAGTGGGACGGATGAAACTTTTTATGATCACGTGGGGACAGAGCGGGGTGAAAATTATATACATTCTATTTATCTTAATATGTAGACATTCTGAATCAATAGTTGTGCTCGCAATGCTTCAGAAAACTTTCTTACGAAAGCATCTAAACAATAACGACAAAAAAATTAAAAACATAAAATGACGTCAAAACACTAAATAGAATATTGCATTTTTAATTACAACCATCCCCTATGAATTTGTCAAATTAAACTCTATGAATTAATTCATTAACTAAAAGCATTGTTAGAAGTTAATACAGCGTCATTAATAAACAAAGTGATATACTTGCCACTCCTAAAATGAGTCCCACAAGGTTGCAACTTGGACCCACTGTATGCAAGACATCTATAATATTTAAAGCCTGAGTCTCACTGGTTTAAAGCTAATCCTTGCTATAAAGCTAGTGATCTAAGATGTATCCATTTTCATTAACAAAACAATGGTACAAAGGCTTTTTTTAACGTTTTCCCGTCCACATATGACGTGGGGACCTTCAAAAGGAGAGTGAACAGCTACCTATTAAGCTAGTGCCTACCATCTTTCTACTGCATCGTCACTTCCTTTAGGTGGGATCGTGGCCAAGCGCTAGCTTAACAAATATTGAAAAAAAAACAAATTGAAAATTATGGAATGTAGAATTTTAAACATGTTTTGTTTCCAGTATCCCTAATTGAAAAGGATAAACACGATTAATATGTATTTATGGAAAATGAATTTACAGAACATGCGTGTTTTCCTTTAATAAATTAAAAATCTAATACAGTAATGTCTAAAGGCCTAATTAATAATTGTAACAAAAAAAGTCTTTAATTGTCAAACGTGTTATTCCATGAATTATAATTGTGTTGTGTAGTACAAGCTTTATAGGTCTCTACGGGGTTATGATGTTATCGTCCCATAGGTATTTACGCGACATTAAATACTGCCCGTTATCAACTACCATGGTCAGTCAATATTTTCATTTCATACTGAAATAATCACACATCGGACGTTTGCTACGAAACTATGTATTTTATAGTGACTAAATAATATTAGATTCAAATTACGGTTATTAGTATCGGTAAATTCCAAATAAATCTAACTAATTTATAACAAAGAACGTGAACAGTCCTTGAGCTAAAATTTCAAGGGCAACCTAATTTGATAATTTATATTTATTGACGAGTGTCGATCATTGCTCAGTAAATGTCAATCCGTGATAGAAGAATGATGGAAATCAAAGAGGATATAGTCAAGTTGAGGAAAGATGAGATACGTAATTTGACTACGACATACTATTCTCCAACAGTAACGAATGCTGTTACAACATGGAAGAGAAAATCAGTGACGATTTTATCTCCAAAATCTGGACAGATCTCACGGCAAAAAGGAACGCAAAATACTTCTGGATTCTTTTCAAGAATATTAAAAGATTTCAAGAAGACGAAAGTATCCGATTTCGAATACCAACAGTCTAAAGTAAGACAGAATAGTTCTTATAAACCGTTCTGGGCGACGAAAATTAAAGAACAAAATATGGAAGATTTAGCAATAAAGAAGAAAGCAGATGTTTCAGAAAGAAGTAATTCTGTATACAACAAAGGCTTCGTGTTCCGTAAAGAATCTGATACACCTACTGTTGTTATAGCGGATGACGTTAAAAGTGTACAATCACCTAAAAAGCATTCTAATGTTGATTATAGTAAAGATAATAAATTAAAACCATTGCCTAATGATAGAGGCAGCAAAATGATTATGCCTACAGGAGAACGTTTGTATTGGGTGCGTTTGTTAACGTTTTACTTACGTTTTTTTCTTCAGTTTGTGGTTTAAAAAATATTACGAGTATGTGTGTAATCAATGGCCAATGGCATTAAATATTTTTATTTTTATAAAAGTTTCTTTATTAGGACAAAGGGCATAAGGATCTAGGAAGGTCTAGAAGAGGGCGGGGCAGCTACTATTAAAACTTTTATATTCTTTACCATTATCGAAAAATTATTAAAAATCACGGCAACTGTATGTAAAATAGTATATCTCTTAATTTGTTTGTGTTATAGATTATTAAGTTATATTTAAGTTTTGTTCATAAGTTCTGTAAGTTATGTGATACGTATCGAAACACTTGTGAAAAAAGTTCCTTTCATATGTACTTAGTTGATTTGTTAATTCTTATTTACATTTTTGTCTCCAGCTCGGTGAGACCCGTCCATCATCATTCGGACCAGCCACCTACCAGGACTTCAAGGACATTCGTTCTCGCTGCCTAGCTGAAGGTAGATTGTTCGAAGACCCGGAGTTTCCAGCGGTAGACCGCAGTCTGTACTACAAGGAGCGCCTTGATAGACCCATAACATGGCTTCGACCAAGCGTAAGTAAAAGACAAAAATGATAATAAAGTAGACCCTGTTTGCATTATTCCAGTCCAGCTATCGAATCCAGCTTATCGTTTACTGAGTGGGCTTTTCTATAAGGTGGCCAGAGAACGAGCTGCCACCTGAATTCGCCCCAAAAACGAAGCGATTGCTGATCGTACATTTCCGTGATTGTAATTGCGTTGCTTACCTTTTATTGGAGGATATTTTCTCCTCCTTTACCATCTCCATTACGGTCAATGCTACTTTTCTTATAAGGAAAGGATGAGATGGGAAAGGGATTAAAATTAGGCCTTCGACACACAAATTAGCTGTAATCTGGATTTAATTGTTGTACTACTATAATGTAAACTGTTAAAATGTTTTTGTTACTGCCACTACAAATCAAAAATTGGCATTTCTTAACCCTGGTTTTCGCGGAACTTTCTGCCTCGGAAATAGACCTCGCCGGTATTTCCAAACCATTATGACTAAAGGTCCTTCAAGAAGCAAACCTTCCATTTCCTTAGAGACTGCAACGTATTTGTAGTTCCTTTGGTGTTGCGAATGTCCATGGGCGTTGTTGATCACCTTGGTCCGCTAGCTTGATCCCCTATTAAAAAAAAAGCTATGCATTATTTAATTTTTACATTTTAAAAATAATGTTTTCAGGAGATATGCGAAGACCCGCAACTCTTCGTCGAAGGGTACAGTCGTTTCGATGTGCAACAAGGCGAGCTGGGCGATTGTTGGTTGTTGGCCGCGGTTGCCAACCTCACGCTGCATAGGAAGTAAGTTAAAAAATGATTTTGCCAGAGGTTGCAACCATGAGAAATTGTATTTGTCACCTTTTCTATAGTTAAAGAATATACGTAACTTTCGCCCGCGACTCCGTCTGTGTGTTAAACAAAACAAAAGTAAGTTGAGATCTGTTCAGCAGTTTGAGTTACAAATTCAAACAAAAATCCATCTAAACTTTTACATTTATAATATTAGTTTTTTTTTATATAAATTTATGAAATGCACATATATTAGTATTATATAATAATTTTTGCATATTTCCTATAGTTTTGTGGTTTATGTTAACATATAATCATTAAGGATTCAATTTAACGCAAACAACTCATTGTATTTGATATTGTAATTTCCTGATTCATCATCCACTTGCCCTTATCCCTTATGGAGGGTCGGCACAGTATGTGCTGCTCTTCCATACATCTCTATCAGCCGTCATATCTGAAT